GGTGTGAGAATGATGTTAGTAATTTAAGGTCGCCGAACAGAATTGAAACGGTTCCTCTCCAATTCTTTTGGGGGGGATGGTTGGGGTCGGCTGTGGGCGTTATTTTTTTATTTTTATTTCTTTTGCCCGACACCGCCAGGAATTAGTGAACGGTTGATAGATAACTTTAAAAGCCACGCCCTTCCTTCGAAGATCCGAGATTCCTTGAATACGGTACCGGTATCCTGTCCCCCTCTCCTTGTATATATATATATGATATATATATCAAAGTCGCGAGGATTACCGACGGTTTTTTTCTTGCCCTAGTAAGAAAAAAAAAATCGGATACGCCGTGGGGTTTTGATTGACGATCGACCGGAAACTTCCTTCGGACCGTTACTGCTGACTGACGGATTGATTGTATCAATACAACACGGCAGAAACAAGATGATGCATACGATAGAACGCTTGAAGAGGGTTGATGAGACGGGAGAAGAAGGAGAAGGAGGAGAAGGAGAAAGGGAAAAGCTTTCGCTTGCTGGGCTACCAGATATTATGAAGGGAACGGGAAAAAATAAAATAAAAACCACACCCCCCCCCCTCCTCTTTCACCCCTTTGCTCCCCATAGAGTTTTCCATCCACCCATACTCACACCCGACCCTCCTCACACCTCCCCCCCCCCCGGTCTCCCCCTTCTTTCTTCCCTTCCATAGCTTTCTTCTCCTAACGGTATTCACACGAGTTGGTAACTGGCCAGGCAACTCGCGGGACATGGAAATCAATCAATCAATCAAGACTGGCTGCCGCACATGCGTTGGGGGCAAAAAATGCATCCACCTCGCCTTGCTCCTTCCAATCCTTCACCCCTTCATTTACTCTCACTGATTGATGTCCGAATCCCTGTATAACTGGAAAGAAAAGTAAAGATGGATTGAGGAAAAATAAAGTATAAAAAAAGGGTTGCCTTATCGTGCTTTCTGTCCCCTTCTAACTGTAGGAGCTAGAAGCCGTTTCTGCAGATTATCACGAACGGTTGACGTGTGGTTGCACGAGGCAGGAGAAACGGTTTGCTTGTGCAGTGAAGAGGAAGGTTTTAGCGTCCATGCGCACAGCGCAGTCTAGAACACATCTTGTTCACCTTTTCCCAGATTAGTAATAAATGATGAAAACAGGGTATAATAGTGCCTTGGCATGAATTTGTCTGGCCGCCAATGCCTGTATCCCATACTTTCGTTTGCATGATACGAGTAGTCTATACGGGAGGAGTTAACTTCTAGCACTTGTACGAGTACAGTACCAGTCCATTTCGAAAGTATCCGGACACCCGGTCGCCAAGACGGCTGAAAAGGATGCCAAGATGTCCGGATACTTTCGAAATCGGCAATCATAGTGCCCCACAAGTACGAGTACAGTACCAGTATTATACAAGTACCCCCGGATGAGGTTAGTCAGAAGTTAATCCTGGTTAACGCACAAAATAATCCCTGCGTTCTACAGTACTCGAGTACTCGAGTACGGCATATATACTAGTACGGTAGAGTACCAGAAGGTATCTCCCGGCACTTGTTCCGCCAGTTCCAGCCAGAGCTTTTTCCTCCGAGAATCTTGTTGTTGTTGCGGCCTGGGCCCGCTTGTTGTTGGATCCGGTCGACCCCAAGACGGCCGGCACCACGAGGGGCGTTTTCGTTGAATCCCCCCATACCGGTATTATGGGTATTATGTATGATACTTGTGCGGTACATACCGGAACTCGAGTACTGTACGGTAGGTCCACACACTCGGCACGCCCCATCATCCAGGTTTCGTGTGAGACCCTCTTTTCCCCTCCCTTCCGACTTTCCCATGATTATATAAATTGTCCCTCACTCTCTCCTCCCCGGGCCATGAGCCCTCCAAAGAATCGACGCGAGATCCCGCTTACGCTTCTCTCGCTTGGATGCTCCTGGAAGAAGAATCTCGATAAATGAACTGCCCCTCTGCCCCGCGTTGAGTTCCCGATTCCCCTCATGCATCCGGGAAAGACCACCAGTCAAAACTGGCTCCAGCGAACGCAGAAATGCTTTCACTTGTAGGGATTAGCCAATGGCAAGGCCGGGGGGCAGCTAACAGACCAATCGCAGCCTTTCCCTTCACTCCCCGATCACTATCTAGGCTCACTATAATATATCTAGGTGCAACTGCAGTTGTTCTCTTTTTTTCTTTTCCTTTTCATCGGACTATTCTTCCGTCCTGTCTATCAAATCCGAATCACCTTCAAAATGTCAAACCTATTGTGTCCTCACAAAGCGCATAAAAGCACATGGAGCACACAAAGCACGTCGCCTTGCTAAGGTGGTGCCCCAACAATACAAATGTCAAGGTACTCGAGTAGACTACCGGTACCGTATTCCCTAAAAAAACCCCGATCTCCAGCATCATAACAGAAGAAATAAAATAGAAAAATAAACAAAAGATTTCCCCCCAGCCTTCAAGTGCTCGGGCCTCTCCGCGGTACTGGATGGTACTCGTACCGTTCTTAGTCGAGCGGAGGGCTATCCCGGAAGAGCTATTTTTTTATTTTTTTACCCTTTTTTATTCTTTTTTCCTCACTGCCACCATACCAATCCCCGTCCACGCTCGCTCACTGCGGGGAAGCGAAGTTATTAAGTAGCATGAGTCAAGTGATATCCGTGCTTTTTCCCACTTCGTCGTTTCAGCCTCATGCGGGCCAACCAATCCTGCCGGTTGCTTTCTGCACTTCACCACGGCTCACTCGCGTGTTCCGTGCCCTCCCTCCCTCACGTGGGAAACGTGTACTAGTATGGCCATTCGGCCGCTTGGGTGGAATATGGCCTTATTTTTTTTTATTTTTTTTTGTTTGAGCGGGACGGTACGGTATCATATTTGGGTGCACGGCTTTTTTAATTTTTTAATTTTTACTTTTCTTCGATTTGTAGCCACGGTAGCTGAGGATTTGCCGTTCTGTCCGCCGCTTTCTACCAGTACGGTAACTAGGGAGAGTTGACGTCCACATCCCATCAGCTCCACCTACGCTGACCTACCGTACCGTACCCATCCATCCAGAAATCGGGGTGGATAATACCAGTATGGTGAATTTCCTGAATGTTGCGAGAGGGAGGCCCCGCCAAGTCTTCACTTTCAGGGCTCGATTGAGCGATGCTCGAGCTGACTGCTCATACTGGTAACATGGGTATCGCCGGGTACGAGTAGAGTAGGGTGCAGCACGGTACTGTACGGTACTGTACGGTACCCCTCTCCAACCCGGAATCCTCAGGAAACCAACCCCATCCAACCTCCCCTTCCCTCGCATCCGGGTTAATCTACCGTGGCATGATACGGCATAATACGTGTGATACCGTACTCTACAAGTACTGAGGAGTTCCCCCCAATCGATCCATCGGGCAAAAGCCAAGCGCGAGTTTACCCGAACCC